AAACTCAGATGAAGCACCCAAATGTCCTGAATGTTCACCTGAAGAATGATCTGGTGACAGGAACTGAGTGGATTTTTCAGTCCGATCCAAATAGGACTTCAAGCAGAAAAAGAAAACCAAAAAACCAAAACCAAAATACCCCAACAACCCTGTTCCCGACCAATGGTCCTGAGATACTGTGCTGCAGCATCACAAATCTAGAGCCAGAAAAGGGTGAGGGGAGGTAGACAAGTACATATGTTGAGGCTTGGGGAATTGCTGATCAGGAAAAAACATTCACTTTTGGCTGACCTAATATGTTTCATTGCATCCACTTCTCAGTTGCTGGGGCTAACAAGTTGTTGTCATGACTGAGCAGTTGTTGGTTTCCAGTGGGATGAGGAAGAAAATGGCCGTACTAATAGTTGCTTACTTTATTAGGAGTCTTTTGCAGTATTGATACATCTGAACCCAGAGCCAGGAGTAAGTAAGCAATGGTAAGTAGTAAGTACATTTAGATGGGCTTTTACTGGTTGATGGATAAGCCTGAAGAGGCAGATGTTGGTGTTGTCAAGCCAAATACCATTTTGTGTTGAGACGTTAACTACACTGATGACATTACCCTGTTGGTTCAGTTTGGTAAATCACCACAGCTGATGGCCAATCTGGTTGGGCAAAAATTGGTAGGGTTATTATATATATTGGGCATTACCATGAAGCAGCCTCCTACTCTGGGTAACAACCAGCTCAATTATTAGAGGGGTAGCCATGTTAGTCTGGATCTGTAAAAAGCAACAGAGAGTCCTGTGGCACCTTTAAGACTAACAGATGTATTGGAGCATAAGCTTTCGTGAGTGAATACCCACTTCGTCAGACACGTGTCTGGCCATTACATGCGTCTGTCGAAGTGGGTATTCACCCACGAAAGCTTATGCTCCAATACATCTGTTAGTCTTAAAGGTGCCACAGGACTCTGTTGCTTTTAACCAGCTCAATATTAGCCTGACTAGATGGGTTACTCAGCAGGCAGAACTATCAAATACTTGGAAAGTGTCACACACATAGCTGGAGGATGCTTGAAAGATGTGGCTGCTCATATAGTAGCAGCCCCTGCCAAATTCTGGGCCCTTTGGTGGCCTCTGTGGAGATGTCAGGACATCAACCTTGCTACAAAGCTGCAGATTTACAGAACCATAGTTATAACAACTTTATTATATGCCAGTTAAATGTGGACACTGAGGTAGGCTGAAGAGCAGCAGATTGACATTTTTGATTCTCATCTTCATCAGCTGCTCCATATTAAGTGGCAGGACGAAATCAGCAATAAGGCTATTAATAGCCAAACCCAGCAAGTGCCTCCATCAGCCCTGTTTCAGTTTCAGCAGCTTTATTGGTATTGACATATTAGTATTAGTAGCACGGAAGACCAACAGATTGCAAAGTGTTTACACTGAGGAATGCCACTACACAGTTGCTGATCACATGGTTGCCAAATGCTTTGATGGCATGATAAAATTACCAATGAAGGACACATACCAAACATCCAGCTAGATTGTCTTAAGGACCTAGCCAGAGATTGATCTGGGTAGGGTCCTTGACCTGCAGGAGGCTACATCTCTTTGGGATTTGTCTTGATGATTACTAAGTAGGAAGTGAGGCATCCTTTGTCTGGCCCAGTTTGAAGGATTACAGTTAGGAGAAATTATCTCATTTGATAGAAGCCTAATATAGCACAAAAAGTGCTAACAAAATTTGCAGGTGACACAAAGTTGGGAGGTATTGCCAATACAAAGGAGGACCAGAATATCATACAAGAAGATCTGGACGAAATTGAAAAGTGGAATAATAGAAATGGGATGAAATTTTATAGTGCAAAGTGAAAGGTCATGCACCTAGGGACTAACAAAAACAATTTTTGCTATAAACTGGGGACTTAGTTGGAAGTGACACAGTAGGAGAAAGACCTGGGTGTACTGGTTGATCACAGGCTGACTATGAGCAGTCAGTGTGATGTGTCCGTGAAAAAGGCTAATGCAATCCTAGCTAATGCACAGGCGAGGTATTTCCAGAAGAGACAGGGAAGTGTTAGTACCATTATACAAGGCACTGGTGAGATTTCATCTGGAATATTGTGTGCAATTCTGGTCTCCCATGTTTAAAAAAGATGAATTCAAACTGGAACAGGTGCAGAGAAGAACTACTAGGATGATCAGAAGAATGGAAAACCTATCTTCTGAGAGGAGATTCAAAGAGCATGGCTTGTTTAGCCTAACCAAAAGAAGGCTGAGGGGAGATATGATTGCTCTCTATAAATACATCAGAGGGATAAATACCAGGGAAGGGGAGGAGTTATTTAAGCACCAATGTGGACACAAGAACAAATGGATATAAACTGTCCACCAACAAGTTTAAGCTTGAAATTAGACAAAGGTTTGTAAGCATCAGAGGAGTGAAGTTCTGGAACAGCCTTCCAAGGGGAGCAGCGGGGACAAAAAAACTAACTGGCTTCAAGAATGAGCTTGATAAGTCTATGGAGGTATGATGAGACTGCCTACAATGATATGTAGCTGATGTGTGACTGCTGGAAGCAAATATCTCCAATGGCTGCTGACGGGACACTAGATAGGGAGGGCTCTGACTTACTACAGTAAATTCTTTACCAGGTGTCTGGCTGGTGGTCTTGCCCACATGCTCAGAGTCTAAATGATCACCATATTTAGGGTTGGGAAGGAATTTCGCCCCCAGTCAGAGTGGCAGGTTTTTTGCCTTCCTCTGCAGCATGGGGGATAGGTCACTTGCAGGTTTAAACTAGTGTAAATGGTGGATTCTCTGTAACTTGAAGTCTTTAAATCATTATTTGAGGGCTTCAGTAACTCAGCAGAGGTTAGGGGTCTATTACAGGTGTGGGAGGGTGCAGTTCTGTAGCCTGCAATATGCAGGAGGTCAGAGTAGGTGATCATGATGGTTCCTTCTGGCCTTAAAAATCTAGGAGTCTATTAGATTAAGTGTAATAAAAGATGGCTGTATTGAATGGGATTTACTGCTGGGTTAAGGGGAGTTTTCTATGTTAATTTGCTCAGTAAAAGATGAAACCATTAACTATACCAGAATTGAAGGGAACAGAATTTATATTCATTCATAAGAACATAAAAATGGCCAGCCTTGGCCAGACCAATGGTTCTTCTAGCCCAATGTCCTGTCTTCCGACAGTGGCCAATACCAGATGCTTCAGAGGGAATGAACAGAACAGAACAATCACGAAGTGTTCCATCCCCTGTTGTCCAGTCTGAGCATCTGGCAGTTCGAGGCTTAGGGACACCCAGAGCTTGGGGTTGCATCCGTGACCATTTTGGGTAATAGCATGGGGTTGCATCCTGATTGAATATCCGTTTTCCCATGGTGGCACTGCCAATGAACTTTTGTTTTGCCATAAATATCCAATATTTATCTAAGCGTATATGTCTTAAGAAAGTATTTGTAATGCTTTGGTGAGAGGCCCTTTGGAACAACTTTGTAAATGTGACATGTGCCTTGATTTTTTTTTTTAAACTCCAAGTTCAATTAAATGTATACAGCACTTTGAAAAAGTTACTAATTACAACTTATTAGAGCTTGTTCTACCTAATAAGTTCCCAGTTGGAATTCAGCAATTATGAACTAAAGGGATCCCCAAAGGCACCTGTTTTACACTTGAAAGCTCAGAATTATTGCTGTATGGTAACACTTTCTGATATGGAACATTAGCCATGAAGGAACTGTGCAATAGCATTTCTATTATCTTGAATGGCAACAGAAGAGGTAGAATTTACATTACTTTAGTTGGATTGTAGATACAATATAAATAGTCTATAGAACTTCAACAAAGGGTTATACAAAATTATATGCAAAATAATATGACAGTAAACAATATTCACCCACCTGCACTTTCAGATCCTTGGAGGAAAGGCATTGCAGATGAAAAACTATTACTATTATTGTGCTTGACAATATTTTTCTGATACCATCCAATTAATAATCTACTGATAGTTTGCAATAGGATATTCTTAATTTTTAAGGTATTTAAATAGTGTACTCAGAGATACAGACTGTTTTAAATTTGCTTTCAAAAAGTGTAAACACATTTGGATTTGTTTTTCTTAGTAGAAAACCACAATTAAAAAAAAAATCCATGTGATAGCTTTAAGAATTTTAGCGAGTCTTCCAATGTTCTTTTATTTTTTGCTTTTTATTAAAAACAAATACAAATTAAAAGTGAGCTGCAGAAATGCTAGAAAAAAATATTTCACCTCTGAGTTCTTGTTTGAGTTACATTCTGTTATCTTAACAGTCCACTTATTAAAAAAATGAACAAACAGCACTCTAATCATTCAACCATTTAATTTATTTTCACAGGCATAATAGAAGGAAACTTCTGATATTATTCAATGAAATAAAATACCTGTTTTTTATTTTCAACATTTTTTACATTCACTATTTTCATGGAAGAAGTTTTACTGTGATTACGAGAGTAATTTAGGACTTACCACAGCTAAAAGGTTATTTTTTCCCCCAAACTTAGAATGCAATCATTATCTCCATACAAGAGTAAAGATCTTTTAAACTAGTGTTTCCCAATCCAGGGGCTGGGGCAAAGTAGTACAGGAAAGTCAAGACACAGAGGAGAAGAGCAGTAGGGAACAAGAATTTTAACAACCCTGGATATGTTCCACCGTACAAATTATACTTATTTGTTTGTTTGTTTATGGTAGCACTCACAATGGGCTTGATACTTTCCAAAAAGAAAATACAGTCACTTTCCTGAACAGCTCACAATCTAAAGATAGAGAGAAATGGACCCAGGTTAGCAGGAATGAATATAACATATAGGGTAGCAAAGATGGTGCTTGGCAAAATAAGATTAAGCTACAAAACAAACAAAAATATTACTTTTGGTATTAAATCAACAGAATTCTCTGTAAAAATGTAAAGAGTCTTCAGAAGGATTTAACTGTGGAGATGATAGGGGGCCTTGTCAAGGCTCATGAAGGCTAAAGGGGGCAGCATGAAAGAATGGAAAAAACACAGAAAGGTTTATGTGAGAAGCTGAAAATGGACAGACAAGGCTGGCATCGTTGGGGGAGCAAAATGAATGGGGAAGAGGCTATGTGAAATGAGATGGGGTAGTAGAGTTACAGAGGCTTACACAGAGCTCAGTTGAGCTGCAAGAGCATATGGCCATAGGAAGCTGACAAGGGTTCCCCCTCCACCCCATTCCAGAAAGGGGAAGTCACAAAAGAAGAGAACAAAAAAGAACAACATGAAAGTAAAACACACAAAAACAAAAAATCCAACCAGAAGATACGAACAGGGAAGACAAAGGGATAGGCAAAGGATAGGTGGTGGCAACTATGCTGCACAATGGTATAAGGGGACAACAGTCTTATATTGAGAACCATTGTTCTAAGCAGTCTGTTATTCAAGCAAACCAGAGCAAAAACCTCCATATGTTTGAAGCAGATTGTCTTTGCAGTTTTGCAAATGCACTGAGTGTACATGACATTATGCAGAAGACAAGACTAGTAGAGGTGAAGGATAGGCAAGAAGAAACATTCCTTCCACTTAGCACTGAAGAAGACAAACCAAGAGTATCCAGTGAAATTTAAAAGTAAATCATGAAAGACTTCATTGTTTTATTTTGGAAAGAAAAATGAAAAATAGGTAATTTTTTACTCTAAATTTTCATTCCCTACCCCCCAATCTCCAACTAAGAACATGTAGAAATATATTAGTCCTTAGTCATATGGTGGTAAACCAAACAGTTCTGGTTCAAAGTCCTCCATAGATTTCAGCACTAGATTTGCTTCCTTTGTAAGATCTTGATTCAAATTTTCATCTGGAATCATAACCACTTGCATCCCAGCTGCCAATGCTGCTTGCACTCCAAGTGGAGAATCTTCAAACACAAGACACTGAAAAATGAGAAAATAAAGACAAAGGTTAAAATGTTGTAATTCCTTGTATTATCACAAGAAAGGATTATATATAGGATCATATGCAAAGTCACTTTCTTGAGTTGAGTAAATGAAGTATCTATAGGGCCTGATTGTGCACTACAGAAGTCAGTCAACAAAAAAACCAAATCAACCAACCAAACAAAAAAGCAAATACAGTACGGTACTGTGTTAAATGTAAACTACTAAAAAAATAAAGGGAAAGGTTTTTTTTTTTAAAAAGTGTTGACAAGGTAAGGAAACTGTTTTTGTGCTTGTTTCATTTAAATTAAGATGGTTAAAAGCAGCATTTGTCTTCTGCATAGTTAAGTTTCAAAGCTGTATTAAGTCAATGTTCATTTGTAAACTTTTGAAAGAACCATAACGTATTTTTCAGAGTTACAAACATTTTAGAGTTACCAACAACCTCCATTCCTGAGCTGTTCGTAATTCTGAGGTTCTACTGTAGCTATATTGTATTCTCTCAAACAACAACAAACACCACAAAATGTTGGACCAGATCCTCAACTGAAGAGAGTTTTTTTACTGTGATAAGAAAATCTGTCCCACTGCCTTTAAGCATCATGAAGAAGTCCAATAAATTATGTTCTTGTTAAGAAGTAGTTGTTATATTCTTTTTCTTGGAAAGAAGGGATTGCTGCTTCTTGCAAAACACATAAGCACAAGTGGGTTCTGAGCACATTCAACATGCTTAGATGAAGTTTAGTGAGAAGAAAACTGTCAGCACAGCTTGTCTTGATACCTGTGAGCTCTCTTAGGTTCAAGAACTGTTGCAGTTTTTGGCCCATATTACTGCTTAAAACAAATTGTAAACAAGTGATATTCAAAATGCATGAGCCACTTAATGCCTTTTCAGATGTGTTTTGTACTTAAAACAAGTGTTTTTTCATGGTTTTCAGTTTTTGGATAGCTGGGCTCCATTCAGAATATAGCAAACAATTTAGTAACAAAAAATGAATGCATGGCTCGGGAACTTAAATGCTGTGTCTTCTGTTTAATGGAGATCTCAAGTAGAGACATAATGAAATGAAAACCATTAACTGGGGCCTGATACATAAAGCCACACCACATGAAATAATTTGTATCAATGAATGTCCATATCTGTGGTTTCAAAAGAATTCTGTTGTTAGTTTGTTCTATATTTAAATCTGAAACACAATTAGTCATATCCTGACCCCACTGAAGTCAATGGTAAAACTCTCACTGATTTCAGTGAAGCCAGGGTTTCATCATATATTTGTAGCAATAATTTATCTGAATAAGCAGTATTAGTAAACAAGACAGTTAAGACTATTTGAAAGCTTTAGAAAACCGTTAGGAGCAGATATTAATATATGTGCATATCTTGTGCATCTAGAAAGGTTATTTGCATATATCTGTTTATTGCTCAGCAGAGATGTTCTAAAATTGATATTATAATCTCTATTTTAATGCAGAAAGGGTTTAGATAGGAGGAGAGGTCATTCAACTTGTGCAGTAACTGTGGTTCTTCGAGATGTGTCCCCCTATGAGTGTTCAGAGATTTTCTGTTAGCAGCGTCTGTTTGGCAAGCATATGTGTCCTATGCCTCTTCAGGCTGGATACCAAGGCTATATAGGAGTGCGTGGGTGAACCACTCTCAGCTCCTTCTCCACCCAAACAACCCCCAAGGAGCAATTCGAAGCAGAGAGGAAGGAGGGCGGGTGGTGGAGCATCCATAGGGGACACATCTCGAAGAACTGCAGTTACGGCAGAAGGTGAATAACCACTTCTTCTTTGACTAGTATTCCTATGGCTGCTCCACTTCACGTGACTTTCGAGCAGTATCCCCAGAATTCAAAACTGCAGAACCAAGAGCCACATCAGACTTGACATCATGGAACAGGGCGTAATGTTTAAAAAAAAAGACAGTTACCTGTTCTATAACTGGTGTTCTTCGAGATGTGTTGCTCATGTCCATTCCATATTAGGTGTGTGTGCTCGCCACATGAACCGGTGATGGAAGTTTTTCCCTCAGTGGCACGTGCATGTCGCGGTATAAGGGGCGCTGCCAGCCCCCTTCACCCTCAGTTCCTTCTCGCCAGAAACTCCGATAGTGGGGAAGGAGGGCAGGTCATGGAATGGACATGAGCAACACATTTTGAAGAACACCAGTTACGGAAAAGGTAACTGTCTTTTCTTCTTCTAGTGCCTGCTCATGTCCATTCACTATTAGGTGACTCCCAAGCAGTACCAATGGAGGCGGGTAGAAGTTCATAGGCCTATAGATTGCAGCACAGCTCTGCCGAACCCAGCATCATCTCTGGTTTGCTGAGTGATGGCGTAATGCACTGTGAACATTTGAACTGAAGACCACGTCACGGCTCTGCAAATGTCCTGGATGGGAATGTACGCCAGGAAGGCCGCCGAGAATGCCTGAGCTCTGGTCGAATGGGCCCTCACAATCGGCGGTGGTGGGACCTTTGCCAACTGGTAACAGGTCCGGATGCAGGAGGTGATCCAGTTGGAAATTCTCTGTGAGGACACCAGAAGGCCCTTCATCCTATCTGCTGTAGAGATGAAAAGCTAGGTTGACCTGCAGAAGGGGTTGGTACACTCCAGGTAAAACGCCAGGGGACGTCTGATGTCCACCATGTGCAGCCTCCTTTCCTTACTAGTGGCATGTGGCTTGTGGCAAAACACCAGGAGGAAGATGTCCTGATTGACATGGTAGGAGGACACCACCTTTGGCAGAAAGGCTGGATGGGTTCACAATTGAACTTTGTCCTTGTAGAACACAGTATATGGCGGCTCCTATGTGAGGGCTTTGATCTCTGACTTTCATCTCACCGACGTTATCGCCACAAGGAAAGCGACTTTCCATGACAGGTGGGAAAGGGAGCAGGAGCCCATAGGTTTGAAGGGTGGGCCCATGAGCCTAGAGAGAACCAAGTTAAGGTCCCACTGTGGAGCAGGAGCCCGAACCGGTGGGAAGAGTCTCTCGAGGCCTCTCTGGAATCTGACCAACATGTCATGGGAGAACACATTCCGACTCTGGAACGGCGGGTGAAATGCGGAGATAGCCATCAGGTGCATCCTGATGGAAGAGAGGGCCAGTCCCTGGTTCTTAAGATGGAGCAGGTACTCCAGGATGGATTGTAAGGAGGAGTGCAACAGAGAGATAACATGCTCAGATGCCCAGTGGGAGAACCTCGTTCACTTGGCCTGGTAGGTTGCTCTAGTGGATGGCTTCCTGCTTTCCAAGAGGACTTGTTGGACCTCATTAGAGCAGGCCCGTTCCTCTGCATTCAACCACACAGCATCTACGGCATGAGGTGGAGGGAGGTAAAGATGGGGTGCAGGAGGTGACTATGGTCTTGTGAGAGCAGATCCGGCTGGTTGGGAGGGGTCAGGGGGTGGTCGTTGCCAGGTCCATTAGCGTGCCAAACCAATGCCAGCACGGCCACGCCGGGGCAATCATGATGACTTTGGCCTTGTCCCTCTTGATCTTTGACAGGACTCTGCTGATGAGCGGGATCGGCGGGAATGCAGGCATCAGAGTCCCCGACCATGACAGAAGGAAGGCATCGGGGAGAGAGTCCTTGCCCAGCCCCTGCAGGGAACAGAACTGATGACATTTCCTGTTCTATCTGGTGGCGAACAGGTCCACCTGGGGAGTTCCCCACCTCTGGAAGAGCATGTGGGCTACCTCTGGATGGAGCGACCACTCGTGGTGAGAGGAAAAGGACCTGCTGAGGCAATTTGCCAGCATATTCCTGACACCGGGAAGATGACAGGCCTCCAGATGGATTGCGTGCTTGATGCAGAAATCCCATAGACGGAGCGCCTCTTGACAGAGAGCCAACGAGCGCACTCCCCCTTGCCTGTAGATGTAGAACATAGAGGCCGTATTGTCTGTCAACACCCTAACCACTTTGCCTGAGAGATGTGGCAGGAAAACTCTGCAGGCCAGGCAAACTGCTCTGAGCTCTCTGACATTTATGTGCAACGTCAGTTCCTCTGGCGACCACATACCTTGGGTCTGCAATGCACCTTGATGCACGCCCCAGCCAAGGTCCGAGGCATCTCACTTCAGTTCGACCAAGGGGCATGGAATGTTGAATGGGACTCCGCCTAGGGCTGCCTTGGAGTCGGTCCACCATTGCAGAGAGGTAAGTATCTCTGGCGGGACGATGGCAACCTTGTCCAGATGATCTCTGGACTGGGAATAGACCATCGACAGCCACTGCTGGAGAAGTCGCATGCTGAGTCTTGCATGGTGGACGACATATGTACAGGCTGCCATGTGGCCGAGCAACCGGAGGCATACCGGGGCCGTGGTCAGAGGGACGCGGAGGTCTACCATCGTCCGGAACCTGTTTTGAGGCAGGAAAGCTCTTGTGCAGGTGGAGTCGAGCACCGTTCTGATAAACTCTATCCTTTGCATCGGAACTAACGTTTACTTCTTGTCATCCACCAACAGGCTCAGGGACCGGCATGTGATCTGTAGTACGCGATATCCCATTGGACTTGAGACCTGGAGCGGCCTTTGACCAGCCAGTCATTGAGATACGGGTATATCTGAATACTCCGATACCTGAGGTAAGCTGCTACCACCGATATGCACTTGGGAAACACCCTCGGTGCTGTCACTAGGCTGAAAGGGAGGACCACAAATGGGTAGTGGTCTGATATCACTGTGAAGTGTAGGAAGTGTGTCTGTCCTTGGAAGATTGCTATATGAAAGTACGCGTCCTTCAAGTCGAGGGGGGCATACCAGTCTCCTGGATCCAGGGAGGGGATGATGGAGGCCAGGGAGACCTTGCGGAATGTCAATGCCCTCCTCCAGGATTGCCAAAAACTCCTTCCTGGTGTCCTCGTGAAATCTATCCTCGAACTTGGCCATGGCTTGCCACATATTGAAGTCATAGCTTCCAAGGAGAGCTTGGTGGTTGGCGACTCTCAACTGGAAGCTGGAGGAAGAATAAACTTTCCTCCCG